TGATCTTGGATCGTTGGTTGACTTGTATGATTGAGGTTTGGATGAAAGGTTGTCTTTTCCTTAATCTTTTGAAGGCTTTAGCATAGTACTTCATAATTACATTATCTTTCTTAAATTAGGAGGTGAGAGTACTAGGAGTATCTAAGTATAGCAGTATAATTTTCATAATTGGTATAATTTAGTATATTGTAATTCAGGGCCAAAGCAGTACAGTATGTGTTAGACAAATCCTTGCTCAGCCAAGCATAAAGCTCTTCTGAAACATAGCAACACAAACACTTGTTTAAAATAAATGAGCACCAAAGATTTCCAAATTCTCTTTGACATTGGCCTTGGTGAACAACACCAGCTGAACTGTCTGCGGCAGCGGGGGACCAGGAAAACATCATGGGATGGATTGGGAAAGTATACAGTTTTTGACCAGACATTGGTACGATCAGCTCCAATTAATGTGGTTTTATTATAACTGAAAGACTTCTTTTTGTTGGCCAAATTGATGTTTTACAAACTATTATCCTTTTGTCTTACATTGTTTTTTATCATAAACATTCATAATAGTTGTAACCAGGCTGTAAGATTTGAAGACAGAAGTGCAAGCATCTTTTCCATGATGCTTTTTTTTTCTTTTAAAGAGGAGATAACAATTTTCAGTGCTGAAGAATTCTAGCTATGTGATATGACTTATGAGAGCCAGGAGAATGTGTTTGCAAATGTTTACTTAATTTTTGTTGTTGTTTAGCATTGAAAACATTATCATAACTTTTTACAAAAAAGGAATGTTCTAGTTTTGCTCACTGCAGCATTTTAAGAGTCCAAGGATAGAAAGTATTCCTCTCTATATCAATAAGTATATTTGAGAATGTGGTGAAACCTCTATTTAGAAAACGTCAGATGCAGTGGATGAGAATTCCTGTTGTATTAAATCATTTTATGTCATTGGTGTAACAGTGTCATTATACAAATGATGTAAAATGATGCAAATGATAATGATTTGTGCAATGACATTGCTGTGAATGATATACATTCTGATTAATGACAGTTGTAAATAACAACTGATCCCCACAATTAGTCTGTTCAATTGATACTTCTTTTTACTGTTGAATTGAAATGATTTTGGCCTTCCAATAAATTGACATGATGTTTTGGAAGCAACATACCTACCTAAAAAAGATAAGCCCACTAAGTTCTGTGGTGTCATTGTTTAGGATTGTAAATTTAGTGGGCTTAAAAGAAAAGAGGGGAAATTTACCTTTGAATTCTATGAATTTGTTCACATTGCTTCTTTGCATTGTGCTTCCTTGCTTTATTTATAGGCTGCATTCTGTCAAGATGTCCTGGCCTAAAAATAGAAAAAGAAAAAAAAGTCCCAGTAAAAATACAGTAAGATAAAATGCAGGAATGAAACAGCATCAGATAAGATAAAAATTAGATTTAAAACGAAGTAAAATAACACATTTTCAGAGTTAAGACCAAACTAAAATAATTCTGGGCCTTTTTTCTTTTGATGGAGAAAGCATTCTTCAAATGGGATGCCACCACTAAAAAGGCTCTTTGACTTATAGCTGCTTCTCATCTTCCTTGACAGGACACTTGAAGGGAGAGCTTAGGTGATTTTGTATGTAAGATAGATAGTCCTTGAACTACAAAGAACTAAAATGTTAAAATTCAGAACTTGAAATTATGTTTGCAGTGCCATTTTAAAATATAATTGCCATGTGATCAAATATTTCCTCTTAGACTTCTGCAGTGACTAAAATGATTACTTAATTATTTGGATATTGTGAGCAGTAATTTCAAGGATATTGATAGGAAATTAAGAAATGAGTAGAGGATGACACTTTGAAAGCTACTTTTGGTAATTGTGTTAGCTTTTAATGGTATAAGGATAGTCATAGTAATAATTAAGACAGGATTTTTGTTCCTTTCAGCATTTATATAATATGCTAAAAACAAATGTGCATTTTGTGTGGTCCTTGATGTGAAATTTTATTCACACTAAAAGTTCCTGAAACCCTAAGCTTATAAATCTGGGATATATAGCTCATTTAGTAGTTACAAAATCCTTTTGAATGTGCCAGAGAACCAGTATTCTTTCAGTTTAATGCAAGTAACACAAGAATGAAACTGGGGTGGGTAAGTGGGAATGAGGAGCTTTTATTGTTCTAGTACCTCTTGTATATTATGAAACTTATCTTTGTATACAACTAAGCACCCCAACGCAGTGAGCTCTTTTTCATGTGCATTAAGAGGACATATGTGGCATAGATTTTTAGAACTTCTATTTAGCACTTTTCCTTTATACGATCAGGAACTTATTTTTAATTCTGGAAAGCATAAACTGCAGTCTGCAGTCCAGCCTAAGATACTACTATTTAGAAAAATTGCTAAACTAAAACAAAGCAATAGCTAACTATTTATGGATCTCCCGCTTGCAGTTCTCTGGATTGGGGTTAATGGAACTGCTTTCTAAAATAAATTAGCTTAAAGAAACTCACAAAAGGAAAGTACCTGCCCCACATGTGTCTCTCTTAAAAGGCACGTGTGTGTTGCTTGTGTGTGGGAAGGAGTTGCTGGTAGAAAGAGAAATTGGCTAACCTGATTTTAGCTGACTTCCTACTTGCACAGGAACTTTTTCCACCTTATTTTGAAGAAAGCTCCCTGACCTTCCAGAGCTACTTTTGGAAGTATTGTGGGAATGAAAACCTTTTCCTTCTGTGAGCTTCTTAATGTTAACTTATCTTTGGATTCAAGCAACTTGTTGAAAATCTGAGAAATCACTAAATAATCTCTAAATTGTATTGCAGTTTTTAATTTTTTTCTTATGCATAGCCTCAGATCTTTCAGTGCAGTTTGAAATGCTTAATAATGAACACTTTCAATTTCTTAAGTTGTACTCAGTAAAAAATAATAAGTGTATAAAGTGTTTAAAATTTTGTGAGTCAGTTTGACACTAATGACAGCTTCCTTTTCATCAGTTTTTAATATGTTTCTGGAGAAAATTTACTCCCTAATGTTGTATTTCTTAACAAATATATTTATATTTATATCATAGTCTCACAGGGAGTTCCAAGTGATTCAAGGAACTGTCAACGCAGCTGACAAAATGTTGCAGGAACAGTTATTCCTAGGCTATTCCTAGCCTGCCCCACCCTGTATTTTTGTTGCTCACATTTATACGCTAACTGAACATCAGGATTTTTAACCGTTTTCATTTTTAATTTTTTTACTGGACTAAGACAGAGGGTCTTATATGTTAAAAATATAATTTTGAGCATATTGATTTGTATAAAGAAACTGTTAATATGCTTTCTTTTATTGCATGTCATTAGTTGTATTCATATTTATTTATAAGAATTATGAATTACCTTACTCCAGAGGCTCTAGGCAGCATACAAAATAAGTCAAATTACAATATACAGTTGTCTCAGGTAGATATAAAGAACCAGTGAGATTTTATACTGAAAATATAATCTAGTTACTCTAGGTCTTCCTTATATTCATATTGATATTGAAGGCCCATTGTCTAGATTTATTTTTGATTATATAAGGTTAGAATAATTATATAATTTAGAGATTTGGAGCAATCTTAACTGTACATCAAAAATAATCTTTTTCATTTATGAATACCTTAGGTGGTACATAGCTTGCATAATGTTAGGTATGAATCAATTTTTCTTTAACTGTGTTGTTGTTGCAGGAATTTGCTTGCACTAATACATCGAATGATAGAATTTGTGGTGCGTGAAGGACCTATGTTTGAAGCCATGATAATGAATAGAGAAATCAATAATCCAATGTTCAGGTACTTAATATTTTCATTAGTTCCATTTGGTATATATTGTGTAATTGTTGAACTGAATTATGTTAGATAGAAAATATGTATTACAAAGTGATTGGTAGCAGTAACTCTTTTGTTCTGATTTTGAAACTTTAAAACACTTTTTGCCTTACTTTTAGGACCTCTCATTTTTTCTTTGTAGTAATATATTTGATTCCACTCTGCTTTTTGTTTAGATTTTTATTTGAGAATCAGACTCCAGCTCATGTGTACTACAGATGGAAGCTTTATTCAATTCTACAGGTAGGAAACATTTTTGCAACTATTTCTAGTACTATTAGGTTGATTCCAGTAACTGGAGCACTGGGGGCTTAGAAAGAAGTGAGGGATCTTCGAAAATTGGAAATACTTTTCTGTAGCTCCAGCATTTGTTTTACCCTGTTTCAATTTTTGTTCCAATTTGTTAGGGTGATGCTCCAACCAAATGGAGGACTGAAGACTTTCGTATGTTTAAAAATGGTTCCTTTTGGAGGCCACCCCCTTTAAATCCATATCTCCATGGGATGTCTGAAGAACAGGAACCTGAAGCATTTGTAGAAGAGCCTAGCAAGAAGGGTGCACTTAAGGAGGAGTAAGCATCTTTAAAGAGCCTAATGTACCCAATTTTTCTCTAGACATAAAATAGCCCATGTACAGTATTCCACTATATTTAATAATACCTAATATTCAGATTCCATTGTAAGAAGACCTAATTGTGTATTTACTTTTTAGGGCAGCGTTTTGTAATCCTAAAACCCTTATAAGTAACCAACTTCTAAACAGTTTTTTTTTCTTCCTTGCTGAGTAAGGATGAAAGGATACGTTCTTAATTTCAGTAAACCTAATGTAAAAACAGATTGTTTTTAGTTATTTTGATTCTGAAATATAATATACGTAACTCATTTATAAATATAAAGAAAAGATGTTGCTAAGTGTTCTAAAAATTTGAAACTGAAATTTTAGACAGAGGGACAAATTAGAGGAAATCCTGCGTGGGTTAACACCGCGTAAGAATGATATTGGAGATGCAATGGTTTTCTGTCTTAATAATGCTGAGGCTGCTGAAGAAATAGTGGACTGTATTGCAGAGTCATTGTCGATCTTGAAAACTCCACTTCCTAAAAAGGTATGTTTGATCTCTACATGTCCATCATGATTTTGATCTGACTGACATTGAATTGATATTCATTTTATTTAATAACCATGAAAGGAGAATTCATTTTATTAAAAAGCACCTTTTACTAAATCAAAAATTTCTTGATTCAAAGCGATAAATCTGTTAATGGCCATAACAATATTATTCTAATCCAAATTTCATTCTGTTTCCTTTTCAGGGAAAAAATCAATACATTTTTTTTTAATGTTTTAACATAATTTTATTTTTCCAATATAGAAAAAGATTCTGATAGTTTGGTATATTTGAATAGTACTTAGCACCATATTACACTTGTTAAAAAATGAGCTTTTCTAAGGTATCTACTGTATTTGTGTTGTTTTATGCTCCTGTAATGGGGTAAAATAATGTTCCTCTCTTTATATAAAGAAAATTAGCAGTAGTAAACTTAATTCTGTATTCTTTATAGATTGCAAGATTATATTTGGTTTCTGATGTGTTGTACAATTCTTCTGCAAAAGTTGCCAATGCTTCATATTACAGAAAATTGTAAGTATAAAGTTTTAAACACTTTTGAAAAAAAAATACTACTTGTGGGCTTTAAAATTTGCAAATGCTATCTGGTTGCTCTGTATTGCCACTTAACATAACCTGCAGGAATCACCACTTTTGCAAAAAAAGTACACATTGCATATTGACCCAAACAGTATTTGTATCTGTTGACTCTCAGCTTTTCTCCTCTGGTCAGTTTAAATTTTCGTCAGTAACTTGCAGTTAGCTATAGCTAAAGAGTAAAGCTTGCTGTTATGTTTTGTACATGTATATGTACATGTACAATACATTTTAAATAAGATGGATTGAAATACAGTTATAAAGCAACTATGTTCTAGAGTCTTAAAGGCTTATTCATAACCTGACACCATTTTCCAACTAGGTGTTCAGAATTTCTTTGCGTGGAAACTTGGGGACATGTTTATATAATTCTTCATTAAGTTGGCTGACTTTCACAGTACAGTACATCACACTATAAAATGTCTAACATATGAAAACTGTCTTTTCAGTTTTGAGACAAAACTATGTCAGATATTTTCTGATCTGAATGCTACCTACCGAACAATACAAGGCCATTTACAGTCTGAAAATTTTAAGGTATGTGCATGGTTATTGTTGACGTGACATGAGCAGAATGCCTCATAATTTATATAGTTAACAAATTTCAAGGAGGACATTAAGTATTTCCAATGTGGTCCACTCAAACAATAAAATAAGTACATAATATAAATGGCAAAATGAACATAGGCGTTTAACTGTATCATTTTAAAAACTAGGTGAAAATTATCTTTGCCAGGAACCAAAACATTATTATTGTGGATGCCAGGGCAAGCGCTCTTGGGAGAGAACTTTGTAAGGAGGCTGCCACAAATGTGAAATCTTACTTGAGAGATAAGCATAAGATATAAAGACTAGATAAAACATTGAATTTTAATAGGTTTGAAAAGGCAATGACTGTCTGCAGCAAAATGTCTCTCCAGCAAGAATTCTATTCAGCTCTAAGTTTGAAGACCTATTTTATACCAAGTATTTCCAGATTTCCTATCATTAGCTTTGTCTTTGACCATAAATTGATTATTAATTATTTAAATAAGCAATTTACATACACAAATTTACAGTATTTCAGTAGTCTGAGTTGATGCTTTCATATTAGGTCAGAGGAAAGACAGTCTCATCAGTATTCTCTAAGCTAAGCTATATTTAGCCGTCTTGTTTTTTTAAAAAGGTTCTGTATTGAAAAGGACATTGAAACTAAATATAAATAGTGCATTCAGCATCCCATGGTTTATGACGGTTTTCCAGTCAAAATTAGCAAATACATCAAAGCAGGAGTGACTATGCTGTAAAGGCACAGTACTAAATAGATGTATAGCCTTGTATTTATTCTTAAAGTACTTCTCAATACAAATGACTAGCATTGTTTACTACTTTTAGCAACGGGTAATGACATGCTTCAGAGCATGGGAAGACTGGGCGATTTATCCAGAACCATTTTTGATCAAACTACAGAATATTTTCTTGGGGCTTGTAAATATTATTGAAGAAAAAGAAACAGAGGTAAGTATGAGATAAGATCATTATTGATACTATTGGTCTGGAAGCAAACAAGAGAACCTTAAGGTAAGGAAGAGGTTTGTGGCAGAGGTTTGTACTAGGACTTTAGAATATGAAGGCTTCTTTTGGTTCCCAGTTGAAACTCCCCTTTGATTTGAGGTTGCATAAACACATATTTTTCTGATTATGAATGTTAACATTGTCCATACCTTTGCCTTTGAACTAGCTCATTTACCTGTTACGTATTGGAAATTGCTTGGAACCTGAAGCACGTGCATTGCCTCTTTATCAGTTTTCAGGTGTGTGTTTGGATGTGAGAGGGAGAGAGAATTCTAAAATATCTGAATGTTTGAAATCAGCCTCTCACCTCTTCCATATTATGGGTGCAGTTGGAATAACAGGATCTTTGAAAGGCATTGTTATGCAGGCATTTGTCTTGGCATTGTCTTAAATTTCTAGAATTTGCTTCAAGAGTTGTTAGAGCCAAGATTATTTTGATCTTATATTTCCTTTCTGCAGTTTCTTATGGATACAAAGAGGAGCAGTTTCAAAACTGAATTAAAAGCTGTTTCATTTTGTAATGAAAGTGGAAGATACAAAATACTGTGTGATGCTTAAAATGATTGAATCACTCTTATTATGAATATATAATTCATTGCTGTTTATATTGTTGTAAATACACATGAAAAATGGGAAATATAGGAGATGATCTAGTATCTGTTTTTCTGATGTAAATCATAGAAACTTAAAATATCTGTTATGTAGCTTATGTATCTTTAAAAAAAAATGTAATCAGGGAATAATTTCTGGCAATTTAAAACTGTATGAATATGAAATAGCTTTGCATATTGAGTGTTAAGATTATTCTTTATTGGGTTGTACTCACCTGCCACTGCATGCACAGCATGACTGTAATGCATATATTCATATATATCTATTTGTGTGATAAAGTATGTAAGATTCACTAATTTCTTTCTTGAGCTTGAAAGATTATGTGATTTTGGGTATATAGTACAGATGTTTGTTAAATTGTATATTGAAATGTAGGCACCAAAGTTTGCTTTTCTTCTGTTTTGTGTATGAGAAATTGCTTTATTTATGAACTGGCCCAAATTAACAGATATATGTATGATAACTGTCCACTTTTTTTAATTAAAGTCACGAGCTAAAAAAAGCATATGTGAAATAAAGCACTTGAGAAGATACTAGGACTATAATAATCTCAATTTATACTTTGTTCTCAGGAAGTACCTGATGATCTTGATGGAGCCCCCATTGAAGAAGAACTTGATGGTGCTCCACTAGAAGATGTGGATGGAATTCCCATTGACGTAGCTCCAATTGATGATCTTGATGGAATCCCTATTAAATCGCTTGATGATGATCTTGATGGAGTACCTTGTAAGGAATCTTCTGATTTAGCGCATACTTAGAAGCATACATCTTATTATAAAATTTTATGTTATATGCAAATGAAAAACATAATCTTTTCTGATTGCAGTATTTATTAGACTCAGTTTTAATACAAGTAATTGTAGGCCATGTTTTAAGGGATATAACTCTGTTGGGATTGCCTGCAGTGCAAATCAATGTAGTAAATAACAAAATAGTGAGAAATTTAATATGAAAAAATGCTATTACAAACATTTGAAGTCCTTTGTAATACTTTCTTAGAGCATTAAAAGATATGAAATATAAACAAGATTTTATTTTTATTATACCAGTAGTTGATAAACTCTGGAGAAAGTTCTTTCATGTGGACTTAATTTGAATGCATACGAAAATTGATCTAATGCAAAATAAGATATATTTTTTAAAAATGTGCCTGGATTCAGTAGCATTTCAATTCCTGCAAAGCTCTGAATCTGAATTTGGGGTAGGTTTGGATGTTAAAATTGGACATACAGGGCTCTGTAGATATAATAATATTTATATCTGTGCAAAGAGAGCTAATGGACTTGACATTTATGTTTTTATGTGACGTTACTATACTTTTGTGAATTGTATCAGGTTCTTCTCCTAAATTTTCAGAATTGTGAACATGCAGGGTGAGATGAAGTTTTGTCTGCCTGTAAGCGGAAAATAGCACTGGTATATTAGATTACATCACCTCTCTGAATTCCTTCACATATGCCCCAGATTTTCTCTGGAAGATTGGGAGATCCTCCAGAACTGTTTTTGGCAGCATTCTGAATTGCAGGGAAGAGGCAAACTAAGAAAGCTGCTTTTGTGGGAGCAGAAGTCTGCTTGTGCAGCATTTAGTGCAGCTTACAAGGGGGTCAATTCTACTGAACATATTGGAGCATGCTTCTCACTAAACATGCATTGGGTTTCTTCTGCATGACAAGCAAATATGGTGAAGATTCAGCTTTTTAAATTTGAGTTTTCTTGTTGAAGTACCCTAAAATAGGGCACGCTTCAGGTTGTATTTCTTCATGTTTTGCTTAATTCATTTATTCAACAGTGGATGCATCTGAAGAATCTAAAAAGAATGAGCCAATATTTAAAGTTGCCCCTTCAAAATGGGAAGCAGTTGATGAGTCTGCACTTGAAGCTCAAGGTTAGTTCCTGTTTAACTTTCTATTGTTTCTTTTGTTTACTGGTATTATTAAATATTTTCAGCACTTGTGTTTAATATTAATAAAAACGTACATAGATACCACTCATACTCTGAATATTTAATAATTTAATTTAATTATTTAATAAAAGTTTATGAAGTTACAAGAATTTAGAGTAACTACAAATTTCTTTTAAAATGCTTATATATTTTTATGAGACGCTGACATTTTTATTCAATTATGAATTGTCATCCTAGCGGTAACAACATCTAAGTGGGAGCTATTTGATCAGCATGAGGAATCAGAGGAAGAAGAAAATCAGAAGTAAGACGATTTTCCCCTAGATTATTTTAAGCATATTAAATGGAATAAAAATGTTTGGTGATTTTCATAAAAGAATAGAGTTTCTGTGGTTACTTCTGGAACCTCATATAAGGGATAGTAGTAGAATCTGCATATTTCTTCCAATGTAAATGTATTTCAGCTTCCTCTTTAGGAAGGAGGATCCAAAGAGTATCTTAAGCAATATCTATTGCAACTTTCACATTTCCAAAATGAAACAAAATTAACAAAACTGTTTCAGTTCAGTTACAGTTGCAAGAATTAGGATCCATGTAAACATGAGTACATTTTGTTCAAAAATATTTTTTTTCCTGCATTAGCAAACTGTAGGTATGAATGAACTGTGTGCCAAAATTGCCATTCTGAAAGGACAGGAATAGATTAATAAATATGAGGAGAGCATGCTTCATGTTGTCCTAGAACCAAATTTCATCCTCCGCTGAAAGGGTCTTTTTGCCGTGCATTTTGGGAGAATGTCTCTAGAAAAGGAAGAGGCACTGACTCTGTACAGGATGCATTCTAAGTATATTTCATTGCCTGGTTTGTTCCCTATTGTCTTAAGTTCAGGCAATTCACATGTACATTCATTCTCTGAGCTTATGACAAGCCTCTCTGTGCTGGCCTTGAATATGAAAAGGCAGTGGGAGCAAGCTTTTAACACCTTTCAGTATCAGAATCATAGTCAGTGCTCTTTGGATTTTAGGAAATTAGACAGGGCTTCATGTCACTACAGTCCATGATCTCAAATTTCACTGATAGCTCCTATAAAGTTGCCTAATAGGATGATATGTTGATAGCACATCCAGGTTAAAATAAAAATAGAGTCTTGAATTATTAAAAATATCACACTTGCATAACAATTACTTTAGAATATGATGTTTTTCTTTAAATTATGCTTATCACTAACAGTTGCATAATACAAGATTGAAAAACTTTAATAGAAGTGGACCCCATTTCTAAGAAACAAAGTCAGGATCCAACAATGCCTTATCCCTTTCATTATCTTTACTATCCCTGTATTTGTATATGGCATGAATTATACATTTTGGATTATTTTGAAGTTTATAACCCAGAATTCCCTCTGAATTGTATGAATAATTTTAGGCTATATACAATGCTTATCAAGATGCATTTCCTCTGGTCTCTGTTTCTCAAATTCTCCCAACCCTTCTGACCACAAAATTTATATGGTATGTGCATTTCTGCCCCTTCCCACCACTATCACATCCCTCTAAAGAGATTAGGCTAAGAGATACGTAGGGACTGGCCTTATAGCCATTCAACAGGCTTCATGGTTAAGTGGGGATTTCAATCTGTAATTCTCCAACCTTAGTCCAGGCTTATGCCACTGCATGACATCTTCAGTTCCTCTCTTCTCAGACTTTAAGTAGCTTACATCAGTATGTTCTGATTAAATCCTGTCTCCTGCCCCTTACCCACTGTGAACTGTGCTAGGTCTTCTGGGGCAAACTTTGATATCATGCTATTATACTATATTGCAATTAAAACCTTTGGATTTATAATCTTAACAGATTTTGTGTCTAATATACTTTATTAGACTTTTATACTTTAGGTATAAAAAAGAAGGATAAAATATGTTTACCTTGCCCTCCCCTTCCTCTTACTATAATTTTATTAGTTTTTAAAATGGCATGTAGATTATATAATTGGAAGATAAAGTGATACAAAATACATATCCTTGGGGTCCCATCGACATGTTCTTATTTTATGATAAATGTTTTCTTGGGAAGTGCTGTTCATTGTAAACCTTTCTATTGAGAATAAATTAAGAGAATTGTTGTGTTATTTCTATTTTTTTAAAGCCAAGAAGAAGAAAGTGAAGATGAGGAGGATACTCAAAGTTCTAAATCTGAGGAGCATCACCTATATTCCAATCCTATTAGAGAAGAAATGCCTGATTCAAAGTCATCAAGCAAATTCTCTGAAATGAGTGAGGAAAAGCGTGCCAAGCTCAGAGAGATTGAGGTATGCTTGTAAAAACAGTGATACAAATATAATTTCTACATTGTATTCCCTATCTGATATGAATGCAAGAAGAAATGAGAAGTACATTGAGAAACACTCACTTAAATATGGTTCAACATTGCACCTGATCTCCAAACTATAGTTACTGAAGCAAGGTAACTTCCAAATATGGTCCATGAAGTTGGCTTGTTTCATTTTTGTCTCTGTTCAGATGCTATTCTAAATTATGTTAAGTTTAGAGAAATGACCTTCCAGTCTCATAGCGATGGTGGAAGAGGAAAAAATGCACTATCCAAATAAATAAAGGTCTAGTAATTTAATAAAGCAATACTGTTTTACATAGTTTGATAGATAATTCTCCAATGTGCAAGATTAATCTTAAAAATAAATTCAGAGTTTTACCAAGATTATTTAAAACATGAATTGTACCAATTGTTATGTATATTTGTAATTGCAGAGCTGCTTAGAATAATATTTCAGCCATATCCACCAGGGTTAAAACTACATAAAAGCAGTATTCTGCTTTTCTGTCTTTTACAAACTTGCAGATAAGTGTGCCTTTAAAATATTGTTTTGTCTCAGTTGAAAGTAATGAAATTTCAAGATGAATTGGAATCTGGAAAAAGACCGAAGAAGCAAGGCCAGAGTCTTCAGGAACAAGTTGAACACTACCGGGACAAATTGCTCCAGAGAGTAAGCAGTGTTTACAACTTAGAATTTTAATTTAGTTTTCAGTGGCTTGGATAAATGTATTTTAATAATACTACTACTACCACTACCCTTTAACAATGGTATATTGTGACTTGCATGAATAGCAGTGAACCTCAAGTGAATGCTTTCTTCTGCACACCCCACTCTGGCTTCAGAGAAGGACATAAAATACAAAGTAGGAAATGTTGGTAGTATTCTTATACTAAAAAAGGCTATATCATACAATTTTTCCTTGCTTATTCAGGAAACCATAAAGCTATGAGGTAAGGTTATTCTGGTTTGGATGGAACGAGGTTTTTTTTTCACTATATGGTATGAGACATCTTATGGTCTCCTTGCAACTATGCCAGAATAGGAGGCAAAAGCATGCAACTATAGCTTATGTTTCTTACATTGAAACATGGTTGAACAAACAAAAACGTGTTTTATATAAACTCAGACCATAGGTCAATGCAGTTCAGTGCTGTTCATCTCAGACCATAGACCAATGCAGCTTTAAGTTGTTCACGGATTTGGTAATAGCTATTCAGGATTTCAGAAAGTTACATCTCCCTATCTAGAGATACTGAATCTTTCAACAGTTGTATATCAACCTAGTCTCTACAGGTCTTCTTTGTGCAAAGCTGTGTTCTGTGATTTATCTATGTTTAAAGTTGTGTTTTGTGACTGAGCTGTCTTTATGTTAATTTAGAATATGGCATAAGACTCTGAGTGTATGCAGTTCATAAACAATGTGAATTCAGTTAAAGATTTATTTCCATATAATACTTTGGGGTTAGCGAAAAATACCTTTAATAATACGTAGTTTGGCCTATGTAAAGACACTTTGCTCAGTATCTCTTAGCAAACAAAATGACTTTCATACCATTGCACTAAAGAAGTTTGAAAAAATGATTCTTTACGTTTAATTCTAATAAATCATTGACTACAGGAAAAACAAATAACTAGTGTTTGAGCAAATAATTCCCTATTCAGTCAGGTAATATGTGGAAAGCTTTGTATTGGAAACATTGAAGACAAAACATTGTAGACAGAAGTGATAGAACCCACCTAGATGAATTCATACTTTGGTTCACTATAAACTGTTTCTTTGTCCCTGTTTCTTCAATGTATTTCACACCCTTGTTTTTTTAAACTAATTTCCATTTGGAAGACTATAATTTAGCTAAAATTGAAATAGTGAGTTCTTCACAGGAAGTCTTTGAGCAGGGAGGCTGAATAATCCATCAGAGATGCTCCAATGAATTCTGCACTGTGCAGGGATTAGACTAGATGATCTCTGAGGTTACTTCCATGCTTCTGTTATGTTTTATGTCTAGGAAAAAGAAAAGGAATTGGAAAGGGAAAGAGATAAGAAGGATAAAGAGAAATCTGATTCAAGATCCAAAGACAAGAAGGAAAAGGAAGAATGTACACCAACAAGGAAAGAGAGGTGTGTTTAAATAAATTAATATGCCTTATTGCAATTAAATATAAAACTAGGCCTAAACATTTCATAATATACACTTTCTTTTTTTATTCCTGTCTCTGCTCCTCTCTTCTTTTTACTCTTTGGTTCATGCGTATCAAATTTTAGACTGTAAGCTCTTCTTGGCGTTTTACAAAAATGTGTGCATTATGAATGGTGTTAAACATTATTTTCCTTGCTGCATTAGTTTAGATGTTTTAGTTCCAGAATCCCAGCCCATTGCTATAATATTTACAAACAGAGATATGCAAGTATTTAGTATTCTTAACATCCTACCTCTTGTGCAAAGAACAGCTTGACATTCCCAGTAACATAATTTAAATATTGGAAATGTAAAGCAATGTTATTTTTGTTTGTGCTTTGCTTGATTTGTCAAGCTATATGTGGCAGAAAAAGGACGTAACTATCAACCCAAAGTGACATTGTAATTTATGTGGATGGTCCCAGCTTGCTAAAAAACTGTTTGGGTGACTCAAAATCTTTTGTGTCATGGGTTTCCAAACCTCTTTTTTGGACATTTTGTTTGGCAACTAAATTAAGTCCCAAACTTTTTTATGTGTACTATTTTCATTGGCCATATTACCGCCTTAGATGTTTTGCGAAAATACCTCTTATCACTATGAATGTATATGTAACGAAATGTAGAATATATGAAAGATTGAATGTTCTTGAAGGCATTATTAAAAACTGAGACTTGTGTTTATAAAATGAGATATACTGTTTTGTGTGGATGGCGATAATTTTCACTGTTTCTGCAAAAGGAAAAGACGACATAGCACATCGCCCAGCCCATCGCGCAGCAGTGGAAGCAGACGAGCAAAATCTCCATCACCAAAATCTGAACGATCTGAGCGATCTGAAAGATCTCATAAAGAAAGCTCACGTTCTAGATCCTCCCATAAGGATTCTCCCAGAGATGCCAGTAAAAAAGCCAAGAGGTAAAGCAGTTGTTTTACAGTTGAGATTGTCATTTTGTTATTTAGTGACATTAATACTCATTTAAATTTTTATTTAATAGTGAGATTATATAATGTAATAAGAGGTGGGGGAAATGGGAGATACTATAGTCCAGGAGAGAAGATTTAGGGAAAGGGAATCTCTTTTTGTTGGGGGCAGATTATAAGGGAATTAAAGGTATGAGGATTTGGGGATTAATTGGACATTTTTAAGATGGTGTGACTAAAAAAACATGATGAAAACAATATATAATTTACATTAGCTTGAGTCTTAATTTTATTTATGATGGCAGAAATGTAGAGGCAGTACAATTTCACTTCCCCTTGAAAGGCTTGTTTCATCCTAATGAAATGGTATGTGCATGCTTGGTATTGGAATCCTAAAACAGTTCATTAACCCAGACAACTAACATCTGAAAGTTTAATTTAAAACTTAATCAATTTTGCCAGGGTTAAACTTAGTCTACCAAGATAGCCATATCTTGGGAATATTGAAATGCATTTTGTATGATTTTTGTGCTAAGAAAAATAGCTGGAGAAACATTGTCTGAATAAACCAGCTTCACTACAGGTAGCCTTTGTGTAATGACCATTCGTTTAGTGACTGATCAAAGTTACAACAATGCTAAAAAAACCCTACGATCAGTCCTTGCACTTACAACCATTGCAGCGCCCACACGATCATGTGATCGTGATCTGGGTGCTTGGCAACCAGCTCACACTTCAACCCGTGTCGCCTCCTGCGGTCACATGATCACCATTTGTGGCCTTCCCAGCTGCCAATGGGGAACTGCGTGATTCGCTTAACGACAACATGATTCACTTAACAACCACAGTGATCCACTTAATGACTGCCTCAAAAATGTAAAATCAGGTATGGTCACATGATGCCTCACTTAATGACCACCCTGCTTAACAACAAATTTTCTGGTCCCTATTGTGGTTGTTAAGTGAGGACTACCTATATTACAGTACTCATTGCCCAAGGACTGGTAGCATATGATGTTCCTGTCTGGTCAATAGGGAAGGGGCTAGAGATGACATGAAGCCTTGCCAGTACTTTCCTGGTGAAAGCATTCATGGTACATGACTTGTTATCCTAGAATGGTGAATTTGATCCAGTTGGTGTGATTGTGTGTATCTTAACCACTGGTAAGAAAGCTTGACTGGGATAGTAGATGAATGAATGAAGTATGTTGTGGGAACAGGGAAACAGTGAGTCTCTGGGGCAGTGTGCTCTTTAGTTTTATATAAATTCTTGTCACTCACTGAGATAGGATTAACTCTTTATATCAACATCATAATCATAATAATTTTTGATGTGGCTAGCCACTGTATGAAAATTATAGTTAAAATAGGCCTGATTTACAGGAAGGTTGGAAATAAAAAGAAGTGTCAGGATCAGATTGCAAACCTGGAGCGAATAAAGTGTGTTAAAGAAGAACTTGAATGTAAAATTAGAGAGAAAACAGTATGCTATGTGCAGAGGTAGTCACAGTGGTAAAGGGGTCAGGCAACGAATAGAGAAAGATTCTGTAATTAAAAACAGTCCCATGATTCAACCCTAACAAGTGGGCTTGAACATTTGAACATGAGACTGTTATGCATATTTATTTAAATCAATCTCTGCTAAGTTTAGTGATAACTTATCATTAGATATTTCTGATAGGATTGCAACCTAAATGAATTTCTGTTGTATAAAGATATATGTAATATATACATGTTATTTTTTTAAATTCTGGTTTCATGTATTTGTGAGTCTTGCAAGACAGAATTAAATTTACTTGAAAAGCATTATATCAAACCCAGCATAGTATATAGCATTATCAATTGTCTCTTTCTGTAAAGCAGTAAAAGAATAGATAGAAATCAAATGAGAAAACTGCTGACACCAGACAGTTTATTTTTAGGTCACCATCTGGTTCAAGGACACCGAAAAGATCAAGAAGATCACGATCCAGATCACCTAAAAAGTCAGGGAAAAAATCCAGATCTCAGTCCCGTTCTCCACACAGATCCCACAAGAAGTCAAAGAAGAGTAAACACTGACAAACTGTTAATTTTTATGATGCTGTCACTTACTGGAAATGCGGTTTTGTTTTTGTGCCTGAACAGTCTGTTAAACAAACAAATGAAAAAAGCATTCCTAATTTTTTTTGTGAATGCACGTGTATATTCATGAGTAACTGCATTGGTAGACCTGTCATTGTTTTATATTGTACAAAACCTTCATTGTGGCTATTTCCCAGAATGAGATTTTGTGTTTAGAAACTTCATCTGAAATGTGTGTAACTGATCTGCTGGCAGTAGTAATACTTTGTTTTAGAATGTTGTGAGTTAGGAAAACCCCATTATTGTTTCCCTTGTCCCTTTTTTTGTAGCTTTGACAATTTGAATTAGATTTGAAATAAAATCTGAAAAGGAAATATTAAAAAAAATGTGTTTCCTTGTCCCTTTCCATTGATTCCCCTTCCCTTTAACTTCCTAACACACAGGGCTACCAATGCAAACCTCTTAATACAGACTTTTTCCATCTGTTCATCAAGTTAGATTGCTCCTCAATTATGTTGGGATCTGCCACGTAAGCATTGTTGCTTGACAATGACTCTTAAGAGATGAACAGTGTATAACTTTTCAGTACAGATTATCTGGTAGAATGCTTATTTTGGGCTGTACCTTGAATTTCCAATCAGAGTTTACTCTCTAAGCTCAGATTTTGGCAACTACAGTGAGTGTTGGGTCTTGCTTCATCCATACTTCCAAAACCAGATGATGATTGTTTGGTGAAGAGGGATTATCACAGTTGCAACTCCTTCCTACTTGTGTGGTGCTATAGATGTTTGAGCAACGAAATACACGGTAAAAGAGAGAAAATAGTTTGTGGGCACTGAAGATCTATTTCCAAGCTTTCCTTCTACAACCTCTTCTGTTTCATTGATTCCTTGAACTGTTGAGCCATTTATAACATCACATTCATGATTAGAATAGATTTTAAATCTCAATTTTTAAATTTAATTGGGGCAGTTTTAATAAACACTTCTGGCTTATTTCTGTTGTACAAACTCTTCATGCATGCATTTTCCCCCTGCAACTAAGATGTAAAGAAGTTCTTACTTGAACAGTTGTATCTTTTTCATAGGATTATTGCCAGTTATATAGTTCTTCATAGAACATGAAGAGCTCTGTTGGCATTTAGATGAAATAGTGTTAAGACCTCAGTATTAAGTGTATGGGTTTCTTTTCATGAAAGCTATGAAAAGAAAACAATATATTTCCTATCCCAACAAATACTCTCAAAATCATCATAAGAGAAGAACACATAATGAATTGTCTTTATAAAGTCAGTTTTATTTTGGAAAATGACCTTGTAAATGCATTTTTTTGTACTGAATTCATCCTTTGGCTGTGCAAATTGTTGAAAGAGTAGCAGAATTCAGATTTTTTAACTTGTGTCTTTTTCTAATATAATTGTACTACTCCCCCCTCTTGTGGTCCCTTAGTTTTGGATGTTCTTTTGTTTTAAAATATGCTTTAAATTTTTGGCATAGCATATCCTCTAAGTCATTTAATTTTTTTTCCATGAATAAAAAATACAAAGGTTCACTGTTTGTTTACTGGAGGAGAGGACAATTGTAATAAACATGCAGAGTTTAAAGGGAACTGGACTCTGATGAAGCATTATTTTATAATTATGTTAATTCATTATTTCATTTATATAAAAGTATCTACTTTCCTTGTAAAAGAGGACTGGCTACTCTCTTCTGCTGTATATAAGATTTTAACATTTTATAGTAGTTAGCTTTGAATCCAGGTCTTTGATTAATGAAAATATCTAAAGTTTATACTTTTATGTCCTTTGTAGTTGTCTAAAGGGCTTCCAACAAGCTTCCAAAAATTTTTCTGATTTTTAAAAGTGCTGTACTTCTCAGGCAATTACGTTAATTAATCTAGTCAATCTAAGAAACAAACCAACTAAAATTAGTTATTTATCAATATACTGTATATGCTTTCTTTATTCAAGAAATTCAAAATAATTCACAACTTGAAAGTAGTGAAATGGTGGAATTACTTTTTTCAGGAGCTGAATGATATGTCATCCTTGGCCTGAACTTCTGTCTTCTCTTGTGATATGTAGATGTCCTCTGTGAAGTGAGGGAGGGATATCTCAGCTTAATTTCTGGGGGAATATTCAAGACACTGAAGGGCCAAACAAATGAAATTCAACAAGATGGCTGTTTTTCCTTAACTCTAATTTCTACACCTTTAGTACTGGATGTTATTTTTTTAAATGCTGGAAAAACTCAAAACACATACTCTGAGCTTTAGTGGTCAATAAAAATTACTCATTGCAAGCTAAAAATTTTAGGCATGGTAGGAGGAAATTTGATTTTTTGTGTGTGTGCTGGCTCTTGGCAGCTTATTGACATTTATTTTGCAGATTCATCTTTTATTTACTGTGTTCCACAAACTAACAGCTCTAAAGATGGGTAGCTATTTATCTATCTCTGCAATTTGTCTTCAATGACACAGCTTACTAATAATACTAATTTTTGATATTTATTATGTTTACTTGATTATTATAACAATGATCCAGAGAAAAACATAAAACATAATAGATACAGTTTGATTTCATAGTTAATAAGGCTTTTTTTAAAGAGTTTTTATGTAAGGAAAAGTTATTGGTGCAGTGCACTTTGTATTCTCCTTAAACTGTGGAAAGAGTAGTGGTGGTAGGGATAACCAAAGAAAAAGTTACAAAGAGATATAAATTTCCCAGGTTCTCCATTGAAAAATGACATGTTCAAAGAACAGCTTTTTGAGGAGGGGAACAAAAAGTGGAGAAAGTGTTCCAGGTAGGATGGCTGTAGAGTTTGCTGTCATGAAACACACAAACTATAAGATCCCCAGTGGCCTATTATATTTCCTGTTTAATTTGTTCCTGGCTTAGTGACCAAAATAGTGACCTATGAATTGTCTTCTGAAAATGTGATCAAAAAATTATTACTTGGTGTTTAGGTCCTAATTAGTGCATTTTGATGGCTTGTCACAAATTAAAGGTCAGGAACAAGGGACCACCTGTGCCTGAGATTCATGTAGTAGCAAATGGTTGCATAGTACTTTTATTCTGCATCATTGGTACCATGTTTGTCTTCCTATCATGGAAGTTTAAATAATACAGTACTTAGCATTCCTAGTAAATCTTCCATTCAAGCAGTGGGAGACCTGGTTAACTGCAACTAATTTCTGCATATTGTACTTTTAAACTAGAGTCCTGACCTTCCACATCAATCAGACAACTGTACCTTTTAAAGCTGACATTTAGAAGCTATTTTTAAAAGTCTTGCTTCATTTATTAGTGCAAGCAGGATGTCAGTGAAACGTCAAAGATCAAGAAGAGGCTTAAAAACTGATGGCTGTTGGAATGGTGGGATCATGGAAGTGGCAAATCCGCTTTTTGATACAGTAAATCAGGTGTGAAGATTTGAATGCATGTCTCTAAATATGCAGGGAATTCCATACAACAGCAAATTGGTTATGCATACTTCCAGGTTGTTTGAGGGAGGCACCTTCTTGAGGCAAGGCATGAAGAAATCTGGAGCAGGTATAAAGGTTAGTAATTGATATTTGATTGATAGAAGGAACATGCCTGCTACACACATTTTGGTGTGTGTATGAATTACTCAGATACCATAGATTACAGCTATCACTACTGTTTGTTAAATAAAAATATATTTTGTTCTTTGTTTCTAATAAAAGTCTATTTTGCTAGGTCACTGGGACTTTCATAAGGATGCACCCATTTTTCCAGAGGGTTTACTTCTAAGTCTACATTGTTTCAACATAATGTTCCTATTTTATATTGACCTCCAGGCTATCTTATAGCAATCTAGTTTAAAACAAAAAAGGCTCCATAGGGTTAAACTGATACTATTTTGTCCCAACTTCTGCTTTTTAAAATTAATAACCAATGCTTCTGTCTTGTCAATTTGTCTTTAAAACATTGGTGTGGCAGCAGTTCAGTTATTTGAAAATAATGTTTTGAAAAGGCTTTTCCACTTAGATTCCTTCTTCCAATAATTTCATTATCCCATCCTTTAGAGATAAAAGAGCTGGGTTGAAATATATTGAAACTTGATCTAGGATACAGTGCTTAAAAGCTTTAGGCAAACTATCAGTTGAATGAGCTTTCAGATTTCTCTCCTTAAATGACTAAATTTAAAATATCTTTGAAAATTAATTCCAGATTCAGCTGATTCTTAGAATGCATTTTCAATGACAAAAAAACAACACACAGACCAAAGAATAGAAGTAAAGGCTTTTGTAAGGAAATATTTGAGTTTACTAAGTTGAACAAAATGTATTTGCTGGTATTTTTGTCAATATCCTTTTTTGAATTCCTTGTAAACTTTCTTAATTTTTAAAGTTGTCCTCAAGATGTCATCATAGCTACACACATCACAACAGTGTCAGGTCATCCCACTCATAATGGAAAATTTATATCAAAGAGAATTAAAAAATGCTCTTTTGGGGGGATAATTTTTCCCATACCAACATTAGTGGTATGATAATTAAAAAATGTAGGCAGCTGTGCTGATATATAGCATAATACCCAATAGATTAGGATCAGTTATGACAAGTATCAACATTCTGTTCACTTGCATTCCTAATCCACAATATATCTAGATTTGGTGCCACATAAGCTTCCCCAGGGAGGTTATACTGTAAAAAGGGTACCACAACTTTCAGGATCCCCTCACCAACCTGGCCAACTTCAGAATACAGATGGAAAATGTCAAAACAGGATTTGAAGAAGACCTTTAAAGATGATAAAATTCAAGGAAATCTAGATGGAGATTGTTCTACAGATACCCATAGCACCTCTGATTTAGGATGCTGAAGATGGTAATCAGCACCACAACATCATCTTACGTATGATTCATTTCAGAAGTCTCTTTGTTCAAGATACAAAGCTTTAGTGGGCAGATTATCATAACTGGAACTCAGGAATACAACCAACAATATCAAGCATATCAGTACCCTATTTAGAGAACAGAAACAACTCAGCCATTTCTTTTCCCAGTTAATTGTCTTCCAATTGTCTCATAGCGCACAATCTCAGATGACTGAGTCATCTGGCAGCCACAGAGGACCATCTTCCCAGTTGCCACTAAAGAGATTAGAAGACTGTCATTTTCCATCCATCTGCCATTTGTATTTTTTTTCCCCTCCAGAGAGATTTAAAACAACACTCCAACACAGTGACCACAGAAGTCTCATTTTCATGGGATTCTCTAGGACTTGATGGTGGACTTCAGAAGGGACAGTTAGTCTTTGGAAAAGTAGTTTATATGACATGAAGGGGGTATTTGAGTCTAAAATCTAACCTTCGAATTAATTGGCTGAATCAATTATCTCAGTTTTACAGTTTGAGCAATACTGTATACTTATCCTGTCCCTGACCCTATTAAGCATGTCCTGTGAGTAGGGCCAATAGGTTACTGAAAAATATGAATACTGTAAGTCATATTTGTCCTGCCCCTCACCTACCTTTTCCACCAACATAATCTACTTGAATTATTTCAAAGGTATATCACTAAACAACTCTCAGCAGTAATTCATCACTATGCGTGGAACATGGATTCATTTGTTGAAATTTTATAGTATGGTCTCAGTAACTGAGTTCAGCTTCCCAAATTTGGAAGGCACTACGTAAGACTACAGTGACCAATGTGAAGACTACTGAGGAAGCCCACCACAGGATGTGGGATGAAAGTGGGTGGGCTCTGCATCACTGGATGCATCCTAGCAGAGAGGAGGTAGCCAGCTGTTGGAAATAATTTCAGTTGGGTTCCTGCTTGGACCAGGGTCAGTAGCGTGTGTTGTCTGTGATGTCTCCCCTTTTATGGAACAGCTTGCCCCCTGAAGTGAGTATGTCCCCACTCTCATGGCTTTCCAGAAGCTGGTAAAAATTTGGCTTTTCTGGAAGGGCTTTGGAAATTAATTGTGGAGTGATTGCTGCCAATTAGTTTTATTGTATTATTTCATTACTAATACAATCAAATTATACTACTAATAAAATAATATAGTATCTCTATACTGCCTAGAAAAAAATCCTAGAATAGCAAAAGACTTTTGTCCCGCTGCACAGAAAACTCCATGGACATGTCCATGAAATCACTAGGAGTCAAGATCAATTGGGATGAGACTTCTGTTCTTATATGAATATTTTATGATTTATGGTGTATCATGGCAATTGTTTGTGACTTGCTCCAAATGTGTCCACAGTGATCTATGTATGAAAAGCTATGAAAGGCTATAGCTTCTAAAATAACGAGGAACACAGTTCAATCAAAGTTTTTCCTTTTCAAATCACTTTAATTTCCCTGGGAAATATTGAGATCCACTGGGGTTTTTTCACTGATTTCAGTACGATGATCATATACACACACACACACACACACACACACACACACACACACACACATACATATACATATACATAC